GCAAACGCCAAATTCCCCCCCCGCTCCCCGACCGGTCCAGATTGAAGTACTGAGGCCGTCCACTTGGGCTTCCTCTCTCTCCCTTTTCCCTTCCCACAAATCTTCTTGAATTTTCAACCTTGACATTGCTGGACACGTCAAAGCAAGTCTTGTTGGTTGAGGCTTGGTTTTGGAGATCTCTATCGTGATGTCTACCAGTATTCCTGCGTCAGCGTCGCCAACGGTCGTCCGCAGCCATTCCACGTCCTCTCGGCCTCACGCCCATCGCCCTCCTGCTTCTGATTTACCACATCGAACTCGAAGTGTCGCAGTCAGACCGTCCACCTCTTCTCACTCCTACCAATCCCATCACAGTAATCACAGTTATTCCAAATCCCAGTCCCATGACCGGCGTCCTCCGTCGAACCAGGCTGCTTTTGATAACATAGCCCGTCGGGATTTCGAGGGTTCACGAGGCACCCATTCCAGCTCCTCCCGCCGAGACCACTCCAAGGAGCGCTCTAGGGAGCGTCCGTCTTCTGCTCACCGTACCGATTCATCGCCCAACAAACACCGGAGAAATCTATCGGTGCAAAGCCACCAGCGGGACAGTATAGATATGGCTTCAGCCGCTCCCGTCGCGGCGGAGCCGGTGCCAGCTCCCGCGCAGGCGGCTTCTGGTTCTCATTTACATCCGACTTCATCTGTGCAGCCCAAGCGTCGCACAACAATCACCACTCCGTCCGGCCAGTGGGCCCTCGGAAAGACCATCGGCGCGGGAAGTATGGGCAAAGTGAAGCTCGCGAAGAACATAGAAACGGGTGAACAGGTATTTGGAACGGAAGCAACGGATCTGACCTTAACACTAATGGCAATCGCAGGTCGCTGTCAAAATAGTACCAAGACAATCGGCCGATGAACACCGCAACTCGCGCGACACCGAGAGAGCAGACCGCTCGAAGGAGATCCGAACCGCCCGTGAGGCTGCGATCGTGAGTCTTGTGAATCACCCATACATCTGCGGCATGCGCGATGTGGTGCGAACCACATATCATTGGTATATGCTCTTTGAATACGTCAACGGTGGCCAGATGCTCGACTACATCATCTCGCACGGTAAATTAAAAGAGAAGCAAGCGCGGAAATTTGCGCGACAGATCGCGAGTGCGTTGGATTACTGTCATCGCAACAGTATCGTGCATCGAGACCTCAAGATTGAAAATATCCTGATCAGCAAAACCGGCGATATCAAGATCATCGACTTCGGTCTGAGCAACCTTTTCTCTCCTAGAAGCCTTCTCAAAACATTCTGTGGAAGTCTTTATTTTGCCGCACCGGAATTGCTACAGGCGAGACAATATACGGGGCCAGAGGTGGATGTGTGGAGTTTCGGAATCGTCCTTTACGTCCTGGTCTGCGGGAAAGTACCATTTGACGACCAGAGCATGCCGCAACTTCATGCGAAGATCAAGAAGGGTCACGTAGAATATCCGCAAGGACTCACTGCAGGTTAGTAAATTCTTACCTCTCTGCTTTTGCACGAACCCGACTCTGTTTTAGAAAATGAGTGCCTGACTGCAACTGCTAGAATGCCGCCATATCATCTCGCGTATGCTGGTTACGGACCCCAAGCAGCGTGCAAGCCTTGCGGAGATCATGAACCATCCATGGATGAACAAGGGGTTCAGTGGGCCACCCGAAAATAATCTCCCAGCACGTGAACCTGTGCAACTTCCTGTAGATCCCGAGGTTGTTGAGAAGATGACGGGTTTCGATTTCGGGCCCCCAGAATATATAACAGCGCAACTCACCAAGATCATAGAGTCAGAAGATTACCAACACGCCGTGAGAACGAGCATCCGCGAGCAACCTCTTCCAGTTCATAGCGAGAAGAAGCGTGGCATGTTTGACTTCTACAAACGGCGGAATTCCGCCAGCAGAGACACACTCTCGGCTCCGTCGGTCGAGGCTGTCCAGCTTGGAAGTGACCCTCTGAATGCATACAGTCCCTTGCTCTCGGTGTATTACCTAGTTAAGGAGAAACTTGATCGAGAGAGGGCCGAAAGCAACCCCGGCGCTCTCGGCATCCCGCATTCTGCTGGTGACAGCCTGCTCAGGATGCCAGACTTACCAGCTCCCGAGGCGGCGCACACCAATCAGTATCAACTACCTGGTGAAAAAGATACGGGGAGGAGATCTCGTCCTCGCGCGAGAACTCACGGCGATGATGAACTTAATGATGGCATCAAGAACCTTCACCTTGCACCACAAGCAGGGCAGGCAACACCTATTCCTGCTATTCCGCAGCCCGAGACTCCCGTGAAGAAGGAGAGCACCGCAGTGGGCATCCTCAGACGATTCAGTACGCGCAGGGTCAAGGATCGCAGCCGTGATCCCGAGCGCGAGCGTATCACCAGTCCTCCTGCGCCATCGCTAAGTGTCCAGCCTCCCGCCGATTCGGCTTCCCCACTTTCGAGAGGGTTCAGCATGCGGAGAAGCCGGCGCGCAGACCCCTCACCGTCCGATATTCCCGGCGGGGGCAGCCAGCCGCAACACCAAGATTTTCTCAAGGCTCCAGGATCGGTCGGGCCGGCCTCGCGATCCAACAAGTTCTTGGAGAGATCTACGAGTGTCAATTCGGCTGACTATCGTTCTCGGAGAGCTGCGCAGAGGAATGACCCCGATGCGTCGGATACTGCTCCCGATCGCCAACCGCCACAGACCAGTGGCTCTGACTACTCGAATCTGGGTGGGCAGAAGGCGGAGGCCCCTGCGAAAGAGGTGAAACAGCCCGGTCGCACACATGCCACACGGACCATGTCCCTTGGCCACGCTCGTCGCGAAAGCATTCAAGCCCGCCGAGCGAGGCGAGACGCGGCAAGAGAAGCTAATGTGCCCGAGGAGACAGATGCAGACATCTCCGGTGCAGGAAATGCTCTGGAGAGCGCAAACGAGGGAGAGGATCTCTCTAAGCCGGTGTATCTCAAGGGCCTCTTCAGTGTTTCGACAACCAGCAGCAAGCCGCTGCCTGTGATTCGGGCCGACATCATTCGCGTTCTGAAGCAACTGTCCGTGGACTATGTCGAGATCAAGGGAGGCTTCAGTTGCCGCCACGCCCCCAGTATTGAACTTGATAAAGTAGTGGATGTCGGCCCTCCGAGCCCTGATCGATCTGGCCAAGTGCCTAACCACAGGCGCCGTATCAGCTTTGGAGGGTTGCTGAACCACGATGACAGCAAGGAAGACCCCCGACCAATGCATACGCCTCGATCTCAACGTCGGACTCGAGCCCCCGATCGGAGCTTTGTCAGTAATTCTGAGGGATCGGACGAATATGTGGCTCCCCGTGATAGCAATGCACCCACCGGAGAGCGTGTCATGGGCGAAACCACGACGAGAGTCCAGAGTGACACGGGAGAGAATCTGGTTCTGCGGTTTGAGATCCTGATTGTCAAGGTGCCGCTGTTTTCATTGCACGGTATTCAGTTCAAGAAAGTCTCGGGAGGTATGTGGCAGTACCGAGAGATGGCGAAGAAGATTTTGGATGCTTTGAGACTCTGATTGCCTTGGTTACCTTCTGCAGAGCCAGGGCAGAAACCTGATTATGACTGGGTTTATTCAGCGTGGAACATGAAGCATTTATGCGAGCATTACGATTTTCCCTCTTCTTCTTCTTCCACTTCTTTCATTGCTTTTACACCCTTATTACTTGTTTATTCTTCGACTACGCCTAGGCCTGCTTTTTACATTGAGCTGGCTCAGTCTGCAAATTCTTCTTCGCCTTGTTGTCATGCTGTACAATAGAGCTGAACAGGGATGCATCATCGATTACTGGAATTAGCTTTCCCCTTTTTCATGTGACTATTGATCATGGTTTTGTACATCAACTTTTTATGTCATTATTTCCTCTGTTCAATCCCAATTAGCCCCATATTATCATCAATAATGTAATTTCCCTTTCAAATGCATTTCTCAGAGGAAATACAAGAACTCTATGAAATTTTCGACTGTATGGAACATATTGGATCAAGTGCGTTTATGTGTGTGGATGTGTGTATGATTACCAGGCGGTGTTGTAGTCTATCTAGGCCTTACCCGGGCCTCAAACTCTGAGCAGGCAAGGCTTAAACTCAGGGATCGTCGGGGCTCTAATAGGCTACCCTCAGTACCTCCGGCAGCGCCGCAGCTGTTAACTAACAACGGCAAGCCTGCTTAGTCATCAATTTAGTGGATATCAATGCCAAGAAATACATCCATATCTAGAAGAGCAACTTGACCAAGTTTGTATGGGGAACTTGCAACGGCAATTACTCCACCACCAATGCTTGAAATTGAATTCTGAGAGCTATTTTCGAGTTAGAGATAGTACCTCTACATGACTATCTAATTTTTATGTAGCTATTTTAATGTGGTGTTTTCGGTCAGTCAGGAACCTGCTTTGGGGTTTTGATGGGGTAAAAAGGGTAGAAAGCTGCTTTGATTTGGGTTCCCGCAAGCTTATTTTGGGGTCTCAACAGGCAACTTGACAGGACCGTTATCCGTCAGTTCTCGATGCATAACAGGATATTTTATGCTAATTGAGATATTGAAGAAGTTTCCGAGCATAAATCATGGCTTGATCCTTTGAATCCTTTCAGATCAAATCCATCTATATCTGAGTTTACCACCTATGTGACCCTCAGCCAACATCTATAGCTATCTAGCATAATCTGATAGAAGTACATGAGTCATGACTAAGCTAGCCAGATAGACATGACTAACCCAAAATATCAATGACTAACCCCCAACAGGCATAGATTATTCACTTACCCACAGTCCCACACTAACACCACTAATCAGCTTTTTCTGGAGTCTCATCTACCTCGTCATATTGTTTCTCCTCCTCCCACCTCTTGCAGATACAGATAGAAGGATCCCCTATTCTGCTACATCATTTCCTTTTCTCTTTTCTGGTGTTGTCCATTGCAGACTGCAGGCAGTTAGCAGTTGGCAGGGTTTTCCTGCCCTCTTCACCTCCTCCAATGACGGTCATCGACTTGACTCAGGACTCTGATTCGGAGGATCAGAGGAGACTCGCTGTAAGTGCTATGTCAACCTCCCGCAAACCCGCGTTCCGCGTCCCTTGGCCCGCCTTCTTTAGCAGGCTATTGAAAGTGTTGCTGTTCTCCATCTGGAATTCTGGATGCAGACCCCTAGCAGCCTAGCTACGCGTTGAATATAACATGCTATGCATGTGTTTGGGGATAATTACAGTTAATTCTTTCCTGACTTTTTGTGTGTTTATTAAACCTGAAAACCTGTAGGTTGACAGGAACTTCATGTGGATGTTATGTTGTGTTGTGGATTTCTTTGTTTCCTGAATCCCTGCCATCACCAGATTTATTGGGCGTCGTGTCTCGTGACCGGTTAGCTGATCTAGTGGTATAGGCACAAAGACAAAGCACAAAACAGACACAGCAGAGTCCAAAAACCACTTTCTTTTCGAATCTGACGCATCGCACGCCATCGTCATCGATCCCGTTGAAAAGAAAGTCTGATAGAAGCTCTGACAGCCCTTCTCTTGCTGTGCCTAAGGCCAATCACTTGAGCAACAATAACATACACCATAATGCTAACAGTCTGGGTCTTGGCAACCACAACGACCCTATCACTTCTAACAGCAATACTACCAACAACGCCATCACTAATGCTGATACCCTCAAATCTAATCATGTATTCATTCCAAAAATTCAGAATCCGTCTACACCAAGTCCAAGCCCAAGCTCTCAACAGGAGGCGATTGGTGTCGTTATTCCTTCTCCCTCAAGGCAGCTGAGAAAGGAGATTGAGAAATCTGATTGGGTCAAACTGCCCCCTGTAGCGCCAGAGAAGACTGCACTTTCGACTGAGTATTATCCCATAGATGCTCACGAAAAGCGCGCTCTCAAAGGCGCCTACCCCAGCGCCCGGAAGGTCAAGCGTTCTGAGATTTCGTTTAGCATTGGAACGCCGGGCCCCATCCTAGCAGATAGGATCCCTGTACAACGCCAGCTTTACGAGACTCTACAACGGAAGTTGTCAAAGATCAAGGGCCCCGCCGTGACGTTTGCGCCTGGCGAGGAGGGCCTGCTCGCAGACTTTGCGTCAAACTTTGAGTTCGTCAATGCCTATATCCTCCGCAAAGGCGTCTCACATATTCCGGCGGACTTCATCGCGGGCTGCGATTGCAAAACAATCTGTGATCCTGCGCGGTGCGGCTGCCTCGAGCAGGACGAAGAGTCGAAAGAGATCATTGTGCCGTATCAGCGTGCGCACGACAACGCACGGCTCCTAGTCCTGACCCCGGAGTTTCTGAAGCGCACAGATATCATCATTGAATGCAGCTCCAAATGTACCTGTGACGAGCAGAAATGCTGGAATCGAGTCGTGCAGCATGGTCGCACGATCCGTCTGGAGATCTTCCACACGGGCAATCGCGGTTTCGGTAAGTTTTACAAAGCCATCAATGCAAAAGAGTGCTAATGAGGCCAGGCCTCCGTTCCCCAGACTGGATCCGCGAGGGTCAATTCATCGACTGCTATCTCGGCGAAGTGATTACCAAACAGGAAGCCGACGTGCGCGAGGAAGTCGCCACCTCGCAGCACGGCCACTCCTATCTCTTCGGGCTGGACTTCTTCCACAATGACGACCAGATATACGTCGTGGATGGACAGAAGTTTGGCTCTCCCACGCGTTTCATGAACCACTCGTGCAACCCGAACTGCAAGATGTTCACCGTCACCCGGACCTACGGCGACGACCGGCTGTACGACCTGGCCTTCTTCTCGCTACGCAATATCCCACCCAACACCGAGCTGACGTTCGACTACAACCCCAACTGGGAGGAGGGCAAAAAGGTCGATCCCAATGCGGTGCGATGTCTCTGTGGGGAGAAGAACTGCCGCGGTCAGCTCTGGCCGAACCAGCGCAAGGGCACCAAATGATTGTCTTTATTTCTTCTGAAATCTGCATAGCATGGCATGACATGGCGCTGCGCCGCGTTGCATTTGAGCGATTCTATTTGAGCAAAGGGCTGAACTGGTTTGTTTACCCTGTTGGCGATCTGTTGGGGCGGTTTACGGAGTTGTCATTTTCTTTATTTCACTCATGTTTGACTATACCCAAGCGGCCACTTGTTTCTTTCAATGTGACATGGATTTTCAGGGCATACCCCACATGTACAATATCCGGAGAATACGTACATCTCTTCCTGGCGAGTAACAAGCAAAGCAGCAGCAACATTGTAATTCAACCCAATCCATGATATGTCCAGCGTCCCAGCATCAAACAAACAAACAATCACCCAATCCAGCGCTAAACGCATTCAATTCACCCTGCTAAACGCCAACAGATCAATCCATAACGCAGTAGACCCGAACCCAACCCAAACTTCACCCGCGAGACGAAACAAACCACATGAGACACCAGCGAAAGCCGATTAATCCCTCCCCTCCATGACCTCAAAAATACCCCCCATCACAAACCGCGGCCGAACAAATCCCCTCTGAGAATCATACGGGTGGGTCTGAAGCTGACTCTGCAACGACGACCTGCCCCGGACGGCGTCAGGCACCCGCGGGAACGCAGAAGAAGCAAAAATACTCCCGTCCATGGGCACGCGGTAATCGACCGGATCGACGGGCCGCGGCTCCATGAGATCCAAGCCCTGGCTCTCGATGGCGTCGCCGTCGCACCGGGTGCGTTCCGCGCTGAGCGCCAGGTCGACTTTTGAGGGGCGCCGGCGGAGGAAGAGCGCGGAGAGGCGGAGGGGGCTTGTACTGCGGCTTCTGCTGGCGCTTGCGCTTATGCTTATGCTTCCGCTGCTGCTGGGGCTGGCGCCGCGATTGGGGTGGAAGAGGCGGAAGCTGAATGGGGAGGAGGCCGATGGGGATGCGGAGGAGACGGGGGATATAGTTGGGGAGGTGGGGAGGCGGTTATTGGGCGAAGTTGACGGGAATGAGGTGGTGAGGGAGAGATTGGGGTGCATTTTTGCGGTTTTCTCTGTGCGGTGTCCCTTTGAATATGATGTCGGAGTGTAGGTAGATCTTGAAGTATGTTGGATGGTGACGATGATGAAGTGCGGTGCGGGCTGAGTGTCTCGCTGGCTGACTTGTGTTGATGTTTCACAGCTGTTCAGGCGCTGCCTGATATGTCCAGTTGATGTATGTATGAGTTGGCAGATATCAGAAATCAAGAACGTCTTCTATTGCTGTAGCCGTCTGGCAATAGGAGAGAGATAGAATCATCAATAGACGCGGACTAGAAAAGATCAGTATATCATCAATACAAAGATCGAATGAAGTAAAGAGTCAAAAAAGATAAGATGAGACAGACAGACAGAGAGACGCAAATAAAAATAAACGTGAAAGAACAAAGATGAAACAAGAAAACTGACAGGTCATCTGTAGCGACTCCGTACAGCTTAGAATGAAACTGTCTCATCCAGAAACTAAAGTGTAGAGGACCATCATGAAAGCAGACTCACCGACACTTTTATAGATCAACAGCAGTCTTCAACCGGACCAAATCAACTCGGTCGCAGGGAGATTAAGAGGAGGCAGGAGAGGGAAGAAAGTTTGACCACGATGTACGGAGAAAACCCTGAGAAGAAAAGATGAATATGGAATCTTCAAGATGGAAATGATTGACTACCAAGATAAGTCGATAGCATATACATAGATACTAGATAGAAGTAGCTCTGCAAGGAAGCTCTCGACTAGCGACGCGCCAGGGGGAGTTTATACCTGAATGAATTCAAGACGAATGCAGCAGTTGGGAAAACACAATGATACATACGTTGAGAACAAAGGCCATTCATATTCATTTGTCACTTTAAAGATTCTCCACCTGAATGGGTGAATGCTATTGTCTGGAGGTTTTCTACGATGACATACGCAAACGGCGGATCGGCATTCGATTGCCTCTTCTCCCGACTCTCCCTATCCGGATTGATCTGCATACACGCAATAGAACAGGGAATTCCCCATCAATACTTAACAACAATAATATCCGTTTCCGACTCATTGTCCGAGTCCGTCCATCAATGTCTCCCTTTATTGTCGATAAAGTTCAACTATACGCTCACATTCAAGCCTTACATATTGTTGCCAGGGGCTTGTCCGGATAATCATTATCATTCTCCTATTCCCGGAGTCCAATCGTCTCTAGATCAGAATTTCCGAAGAATCTGAGGTATTAAACTCCTTGATCTGAGAATAATTATTGTAGTCAAAGATAAAAAGCATCAATTCACCCACGCGCCACGGCTATGCAAATAACCAATATCACAAACTGTCTATGTGCGAGACAAGACAAATGAGAAAAGAGTACTGGGAATGCATCTCAAGAGATGGACACCGGAGAATGAAAGCTCTCTACCAACCAACCGACCAAGCACAAAGAAGACATGTAGATACCACACATTCGCACATCTAAATCATCACAACATCACTCACGTCTCAAATTCTTACGGTTGACTACCGTTCGATCGACGTTGGGTGAAGCTGCGCCGGATACTCTCGCCCCAGGCGGAATCATCCAACGACTGCATCACGTCCTGTACATTCATCGCGCTATTCTCTCGCGAATTGTTGGATCCCGCGGGACTAATGGGCACGTCCGACCCGGCGTCGTAGGACGAGAGGGTATGCGACCGTTCACGGCCTCCTGGCGCCAGCGACGGACTGATGCTCGACCACTCGGTCGGCGAGCTGACATTGGACATGCGTCCGGTCAAGTTGGTGTCCAGCCGGGGCAGTTGCCGTGATGATGTCGGGCTGGAGGGGCCTCGCGTATGCGAGATCGGCGACAGCATCGGCTGGGTGTTCTCGCCTCCACTCATGGCGGCATCTTGGGACCCCGGGCTGACTCCACCGTCTTCTGCCGCTGCCCCGGACTCCTCTTGATAACCATCGTCCACAAAGATCTCCGGGACGGTGAACTGCGGCACTTCGGTCATTCGTGATGATTTCTTCGCATTGACCTTGCGGCGGAATTCCCGCGACCAATACAGCGTGTCAAAGAAGCCGATCACCGTGTTTCGGCGCACAGCCTCCTCTACTCGCTGCAGACGCGCACGACGACGAAGGAATTCCTCCAATCTCAAGCTCTTGCTGTCGCTGATGACATTGTAATGAGCCAAAATCATCAGAATTGAGTGGAAGGAGATGCCGCGCACTGGATCCGCGGATACCAGCACCTCTTCGTAAAACCGATTCAGCCGTTGTCGTCGCTTCCGAACCGTCTCAACTGGGATCCGCCGCAGAATCCGGGACATTTTGTCGAGGTCCAGCCCTTCAACCACTTTTCTATGGGCAATGAGCGAGTCCCTTTTATCTACCCGACACTTCTCGAGGATCCGTCCAATCGTGAACTCGTCGTCGTAGATGCGCATGGCAAAGTCGCCCGAGAGTTCCTTATCGAGTCAGTTGATTTGCTAATGCTTGTTTCGGGGAGAGAACTTACGCCAAGCAGACGGGGGAATTGTTCCTTGGTGATATACCCCGTCCCGTCAGGATCGAAGGTCGCCCAGGCCTGCTTGAAGCGGCGAATTTCTTCACGGCTGATTGCGTAGAGCCCACTGCTTCGTTGATACACATAGGAAAAGCTCTCGAAGATCAACGAGACGAATAAAGACACAAAGATATACATGCTGATGATGTTCCACGAAATGAAAAGCGGCCGAGCCCAGGCGGCGCTGCCGCAGTCGTCATTGAAGAAGTCGCTGTCATATGTGCAAAATGGCGGCACCATCGTCGCAAAATCTTCCATCAGCTGGTTCCATCCCTCCCCACAGCTCAGTCGAAAGAGAAGAATGAGTGACCTCGGAATATCTCGGAAATTGATGTTGTTATTCTCATTTTCACCGAACTTTGTGAGGCCGAAGGCTTGGTTCAGGGCTATCGCATAGACAAGGAAAAGGACAAGCCATGTAGCGAGTAAGTTCCCGATGGCCGTCAAACTGGCTGCGGCCGTCTTGAAAAGCTGATCCAACTGATTGTTTCGCGGAATCAGTAGGAGGGTGATAGACACAAGGAAAAGTTTGTTTAGCTCCACAATGACCTGATTATTCCTCAGCAGATAGTTGAGAATAGTGGTAATAAAGGTACCAGGGACGGCGATTAGTGAGTAGAGGTCCCACGAACTTCTACTGAACCGGTGCCAGCCCAGTCCAAAGAGACGTATGAGGACATTTGCAATATAGAAGAATGTAAAAGCAAAGAACAATGCCTCTGTGAATGTGTAAGTCAGCACATTGGAAACTAGGGTAGGAGGGCTAGACTTACCCCTTGTCAACTCCCACAAACGAGGTTCCGGATAAAATTCCAGCACAAGTAAGAGGAGATGGAGGACAAGAATGATAGTCACGCATCTTGCCCATCGACCATGTTTCTTGACGGCGATCCGATAGCACCATAACTTCCATTTACTGCTCTTGCGGTCGAGCGAGCGCTTCGACGGAGAGATTTGTCTCAAAAGCTTCCTCAACTCAAGCCAAGATCGCTGTTCAGCAGTTAAAAAGGCGACACCCGTCTGCTCAGTGTAGTTTCGCATGAACACAGACACGAACAGTGTCAGAACGAAGACGGCACCGAGTAAATTGAAGACAATGAAGAAGAGGCCGTTTTCTGGCGCTGCAAACGACTGTGGCTGCATGTCCTTCCCTGTAATACTCATAGCGCTCTTTTGCACATCAATCCAGCCCTCCTGAGAGACAATCTGGAAAAGGATGAACAGAGCATTCCCAAAATTGTCAAAGTCGTAAAAAGGGTTTGATGCGACACGCGGCGCTAAAACGTCCCACTTGTAGGGTGAGCTTAAATATTCGTTGATGCACTGGTCCAAATTGCCAACTATACTTCCGTCATTGCATTGGACCATTTGTCCGTTGTAAAGGGTGACGCCGTAGATTGCAAATGGTATCAGAAAACTGACTGAGACCAGG